AATAGCATGATGCCAGGCAGCAGAGCCGCTGCAGACTGGCAAAGTACAGCAACACGTGAAAGCATTGTGTGCAAGGGTTCTCTCTCTCTCTCTCAGGTTAAGTGTGTACCAGTTTCAAAAACAAAAAACAATAGGACTTTGGTCACTCCTAGATCACAGAACCATCCACATGGAAACCACATTGCTATAGAAAAGGAAAGACAGGGAGAGCCAGCATTGATGGAGTACCTGACATATAAAAGGATGAATTATTAGTGATTCTCATAGCTGGACAAATTCAACAACCTCCCAGCTATGTTTCTTTCTTTAATCAAAAAACATCTAAATCTTTTCCTGCATGCTAGGAACTATCTTAGAAGCTGGATGCTAGGGTTGATAACAATTGCTCCCTCCCCTCATGTAGCCATAATTTTGGAAAAAAATCAGTTGTACTGACAATACACAAGTATATACGTTATGACCTGTAGGCTAAGAGTGTCACCTTCCACCTAGTTAGGATCTAGGGCTCTGTCCTATTTCCCTTTTGCCTGACGACTTAATTCCTGAAGCCCCTGCCAACACTCCCAGGAACTCCAGTGACAGACTCTTTTGACTCCCAACTACATGCCTGAGAACATCGCTCCATTTACCTATTCCCAACCCCAACCCTGACCTGTCTCTCTATGCTGTGCACTTCCCTAGATATCCATTCCTTTTGCTGCTCTTCCCTGACCCAGACATCTGTGCTCCGAGATCTGAGCTCCTCAAATCCAAGTGAAAGGAGGGAACCATGTTCATAATCAGAAGGCTGCTTAGAATATGGGAGATTGGTGTCCTGGCAAAGGCTGAGACCGCACACCGCAGGTGCACATCTTCATGCTCAGAGATAGGCACTCTCTCTCCGGACAATGCTGGAGAAACGACGGTATTTTGTGCTTTTGCTTCGGTAGTTCTAGGCTCCACCTTTTTTTTCTTTCCACAAATCATTAGATTCTATCTCTCTTCTACTTTCAGTCATGCTTTGGCTAGATTAGCTCCTCATTTTAACTTCTTGTTCTTGATTTGTTAAGAATTAACAAGTGCGGCTTAAGAATTCTGCAGAGAACTGACATGATCTATCGGTGCAGATTGAACTGGTTATGGAGGAGGGGAGGCTGGAGACATTTCTGATTGTCACGACTGAGGGATGCTGCTGGAATGCAATGAGGAGAGGTCAGGGATGCTTCCAAACCCGCTGCAACGCACACGACAGACCTCAACAACAACAGTCTGTCTAGCCCTAAATGTCAGCAGTGATGAAGTTGAGAAACCCTGGACTACAGTAGGTTCAAGAGGCCAAGCAAGTTAGCTTGTTTTCACTTGGGCAGAGGTTTGTCTCCATTCTCTGAAGTTATCACTAACAGCTCTAATGATTTGGATGAGCTTAAGGGTTGAGTTTCTGTTTGTGGGCCTTTACACATCCTCACCTTACAGTTCAAAGCTATTGCTCACTAAATACACCATTAAGTGGTTATGCTTAACTGGCCATAACTTGCAGACCACTCCTCATTGTGCACACATGAAGGCTTTACTTGTTTGGTAATTGTTGCCACATATTTTTGTTTGGGATGTTGAAAGTACTGAGACAGAGGAAAATGGCAGGAAGAAAAGCAGAAGTAAAAATTTTACATGGAGTGAAGATCCACGAGGCTTGTGATTCCTTAAATTTTTACAAGTGAGAGACAACATAAATGAATAGATTCTACTTTGGATGTGAAACATGCCACCTTGGTTTTAGGAGTTTCCTTTCTTCTTTCCATAACTAGGAGCTAGACAGAATTAAAGTCATAGAATTGCAAGACATAAAAAACGGGTAATTATCGTATTATAATAAAGAGAGGTGACATTAGGTTCTAAGAAACCACCCCCCCAAAAAAAAATCTGACTCTTCTGACTTCTGGTGTCAATTGTCTCTTTTCCAATTTAACCAAAAAGAAAAGTCTGAGAATTTGAAATGAGCTCTGGGAATGTGGGCCTTCTAAGATCACACTAAATGCAGCCCAGAGTGCTGATTTTGACTCTAGGAGACAGCCATGGCAGGGTTTGAGCTTAGGAGGGATTGTCACGCACATGATCTGAGCTAGAAAAATAAGTTTATAGGAAGAGTATGAATAAGAGAAGAAATGTTTCAAAAGAATTATAGAAGAAATAATTGCATATGGATTTATCATTTATGGGCAAATACCAACTTATGAACTGGTTGTACTCTTAAAAGTTCATCTGACTACTGGAAATGACAGCACAAGGAGAGTGGAGGGAAATAGAAGTAATGCATTGATTGCTGGGTAGGACCTTCAGAAATTAACAGTTCAATGCTCTCATTTTAAAGAAGAAAAAAGATGGTCCAGAAAAGTTGATCACCTTGCCTAAGACCACTCTGAGTTAGAAACAGAGACTGGTCTTGGAATTCCCCCAGCAGTCCACCAACCATCCTGTGTTGTCTCTAAGCAGGGAGGGAGTAAAATAATTACATAATGGCAGTGTGGAGCAGAGGGGCGGGGTGGGGGGGGGGACTAGCTGTCCAGGTGACTGGGAGGCAGGAGGGAGAAGAGGACATGAAGGCTGGAGGGAAGAAGCATTCCCACGGCAAGGGCAGAAAGGGCCCTGCCTGGTCTGGGTCCCATCCTACCTACAGAAAACAATGAAAGTGCACACTGAGTGCAGTTTCCTACACTTGGGTTTCTGATACCTTTGATTGCCCAGAAGTTATGGTGTACAAGGAGAGACATGACAAAAGATGGGGAGTCTACAATCTCTTTCCAAAAGATTAGCATCACTCACAGCCTCATCACTGTTCCCTCAGCCCACAAGAATTCATTAATTTGACAAATATTTATAAAACTCCTATTTTGTGCTATGTGCTCCCCAGGGCTTGTGAGTCTAGCGGTGAATAAGACAGACAAGATGCTTTTTTCTTTGAAGGCTGCTGTCTAGAGAGACAGATAAAAAGTAAGCAAATAAATATGATCATTTCTGATCAATAATAGGGAGGAATACGGGTGACTGGAGTATCAGCTCGAAATTGGGTGGTCAGGAAAAGCCTCTTTGAGATGACATTTGGGCTGAGAACTCACAGACAAGAGCAGGTATCCAGGGAACTGGAGACCGAGGTGTCCTGGTAGAGGGCAGAACTCAGCAAGGCTCCTCGACAGGATCAAAGAACACCGGGAAGGCCAGCACAGCAGTGGCTGCCACTCCATGAGCAGGAAGGAGGAGCAGCTGGCATGAGCTCAGCAAGAGTGAGCCAGGCCACCGCAGATTGACGCACGTGTTCATTCAACAAATACTAAGCACCTACTATGTTCGGGGAAATGCTGAGGATACAAAAATTAAACTTAGAAACCCCAGGCTCAAGGATTCTGTCCTGAGAGGAACTTAAGAATTTAGTGGGGATGACAGAATACCCAACCCAATTCTGCAGGTCAGAAGCGATCCGCGCCAGACAGCATCACAGCGCTGACATGATGGGACAAACCAGCTGAAGTCGCGGGGTCTGCGGTCAGAGGGCCTGCCGTCTACTCCCCAGGGCAGGAAGGTCAGGCCTCCCCAGCAGTGAGTCACCTAGCCCACCTTTCCCCACCGCCAGCCTTCTCGGTCTCAGTGGGCGGGGCAGGGCTGTAGGAATCCCCCAGGCCTAAATCCGTTGCACTCAGAAAACCCAGGCAGGGGAGCCCCAAGACCACGGCTCTGATTAGCACCTGACTCACCCAGGCAGTCAGGGCAGGACAGCTACTGCTGGTAACAGGTCCCCCAGCCGCCCCAGGGGAAGAGGCCGGCGGGGACGCGGGCCCCACCCCGCCCCCTGCCCAGCGGGCTCTGGGACCGCGCAGCTGCCGGGTCTGGCGCCGCCTGCCCCAGCGGCCTGCCCCGCCCCGGCGCCAGGCTCGGGGGTGCGGGGCGCCGGGGCCCGGCCGCGAGTCGCGGTGCTGGGGGCAGGGACGCCGGGCCTGCCCGGTGCGCTCGGGGGCGGGGACCCGCCGAGCGAGACCGTTTCCCGGCAGCGGCGCAGGCGCCTCGGCCCTGCCCCGCGGGAAGTTCCGGGCGGCGGAGGGGAAAGCCCTGCCGTCCAAGCCGCCTTCCCGGAGCGCTCGTTGTCTCCCGCACCGCCCCGATGACGACGGCGACGGCGACGGCGGCGCTTGTTTACGCTGGGAGCTCGCACGCCCTCCCGAGCGCCGCCGCCCAGCCGGCCCCGCCGTGACGTGCGGCCAGCGCGCGGCGAGCGCCCAGCCCGGCGGGTCCGGCGGCCGCCATGGGGAATGGGATGAGCAAGGTAACGCGCCCGCGCGGCCCTGCGGGAGACGCCCCCGCCCCACCGCCCCCACCGCCACACGCCGTCGTCCGCCCCCCGCCTCACCAGCCGCGCCCCACGTCCCGCCCCCAACAGCCGCCGCCCCGCGCCCTGCTTCCCCCTCACAGCCGCCGCCCCCACCCCTGGCCCCCTTGCCCCTCAGCAGCCGCGCCCCACCCCTGGCCCACTCCGCCCACAGCGCCGCCCCCCCCCCCGCCCCACAGCCGCCGCCCCGCCCCTGCCCCCTTGCCCTCACACTGCCGCCCACACCCCTGGCCCACCCGCCCACAGCTGCCGCCCCGCCCGCCCCGCACGCTGCCGCCCCCACCCTTGGCCCACTCGCCCCACAGCCGCCGCCCGCCCCACACGCCGCCCCGCCCGCCCGCCCCTGCCCCCCCAAAGCCTCGCCCGGCCCTGGCCCTGACCCGCGCCGCCGCCCCGCCCCTGCCTGACCCCCCCGCAGCGCCGCCCCGCCCCCCCACAGCGCGCCGCCCGCCCCCCCACAGCCTCCGCCCCACCCCCAACAGCGCCGCCCGCCCCTTGGCCCACGTCGCCCCTGCCACCCGCCCCCCACAGCGCCCGCCCCCGCCCCACAGCCTCCGCCCACCCCCACGCCGCCCCCGCCCTGCGCCCCCCAGACGCAGCCCGCCCCACCGCCGGCTTCCGGTGAGCGGGCCCCCGCCCTTGCCCCGCCGGCCGGCCGTCTCCTGGCTGATGGAGTCGTGCGCTTTAAAAGCGTTGACTCTTGCTCTGCAGAGATCTGAGCTGAACTCCGAATGTCTGTGGTTTCTTCCTCTCCCCTTCGCTCCCAGGCTGGGCTCTTGCAGCATCACCGCCCACATCATTAGTAAACTGGCGTGGATGGGTGTCTTCTGTGATTTCCTCCTTCTCCCCAGGTTTGTGTGTGTGCCTGCACACGATGAGCTTCTCTCGTGGACAGGGAAGTTGACAGAGGCCCAAGTCCTGAGCCGTCTTTAAATAACTGGGGGTGAGAGAACAGATTCAGAGTTGCGTTATCCCAGGTTATGTGGCTTTTGAAACTACAGGGACCACCTGTTGGCTGGTGGCTCCTGCTGCGTGTTACTCTTGTCCCTGTCCCGACCCCCATCCTCTGTTCTCCAGCTTCCCTGCTCCCCTTCCCAGCTGCGGTGTGGCCTGTGTCCTTCCTGGCGAGAGAGGTCCTGCCCTTGACAGTGGCTATTCGTGATTCGTGTCAACCGCAAGGTTAAGGATTTTGTGATTTGGTAGTTGCTGGTTTAAAGGAAAGACTTGTAAGACTTTGAAAATCCTTCAAGGAAGACAAATGCCTCTTTATGGGTCTTTTGAATGGTCGGGGTTCAGATTTGTTTCTGGCTTTCTGCTTCTCTCTCCCAATTGTATCCACCCACCCACATCTGGACTCTGGACAGAAATTTGGCTGCCACGTTTGGGGAGGTAACGGCGCAGCATTGTCTCCGTCTGTCTCAGCGTTGGGTCAGCAGTGCCTTGGTTCCTTCAGCTGGAGCGTTGGAAGTGGGGATTCAGGGTAGGGAAGGAAAAGTGCAGTGGGGGTCCTGTGTACCTATGTGACTCTTTTCACTGCCCATGTCTTGTTTATTGTATCCTGGAGACGACGCAGGTATGAAAGAACGTTTTGTTTTGGGGCCTGCATATCACTCACTGAGGTATTTGGTAACCAGAATTTCATTTCTTTCTTTTTTTTGGCCAGTGATTAAGTTTGGAAACAGACTCCTTCTCTTGGTATTATTAGCATTAGAATCCATCAGCACCACGAGCCTTTTGCTTTTTAAATTAAAACAGAGTAATAAAGATGTTCATCACCAGGCTGCAGGCTCCCTTTGCCTTTCCCATGATTGGGGCCATGCCTTAGCCTTCTATTGGTTTCTACAGTTTTTCCCACTTGAGTTGTTCACTCTGTACCTCTTTCAGCATTTAATTTGTAATATTTATATATTATAATTTTAAAAATATACTTAGGAATATAAATAATTGCCTAAGGGATCAACATTCATTTCATGTTTTCCAGTAAGAGCAATAGTATTCATATCTTGCTTTTTACCTTTCAAAGTGAATAATACATTTCTTGGCTATTTTATCTTAATTATTTTATCATAATTATCTTGTATTATAAATGGACACACTATCTCCAGAGTAGAAATGGAGACACATATGTTCAGAGAGACTTAGAGACGTGATTAATTTATAATAACACATTTATTGTGTACTGACTGTGTACCAGCTTGTTGTGCTAGTTGGGAGCAGTGTGTGGGGAGGGAGTACAGTGGTAAATGACACAGGCAAAGATCTTCAAAGAACCCTCTGAATAGACTAGTGCTTATTCAATAGAAATATAACATGAGCCAAATGTGTAATTTAAAATTTTTAGTAACCACATTGAAGGTGAAATTAGTTTTAATAATGCATTTTATTTAACTGAATATTCAAAATACTATCATTTCAACATGTAACCAATATATAAAATTATTCATGAAATATTTTAGTTTTTTACTATGCCTTCAAAGCCTTGTGTATATTTTATATTTAAATCCATCTCATTTGGTACTCGCCACATTTTAAGTCCTCAGTAGCCACTGTGTTGCACAACACAGGTCATGTGTGTGTGTGAGAGAGTGAGAGAGAACACGCAAACATAGGGCAGGGAGGGGCAGAGGCTCCAGAAGATAAGATACAGGCAATTTCAGCAGAGTGATGAATAAATAAAAGAAGTATTAATAAAAAGTATTAAATAAGAAGTATTAATAAATAAATAAATATTAATAAAAGACATGATGAAAGCAATCTAGAAGGAGCATTCAGTCCAGGCAATGGATCCTACTGGAATCAACATGTTTAGTCTGAGACCAGGAGGAATTACCCAAAATTATAATACAAGGTTAGTAAGTGACAAAGCAGATTGCTATGAGAGAGCCTGAACTAGAACTCTTTTCCATGTGTAACTGTGTTACTTGGAACAAGGCTTCATACTTTCCCAATCTGTAAAAAAAGAAAAGAATTGTTGATTTTCAGAATCAGTGGAAGATGCTAACCATAGAAATGCTTTTCTAAGAATATTTATAAATAAAAACATGCAATGCCTTTGGAACTAAAAACATAATTTGGTAAATGTGTGCCCTGAGGTTGCTGGGACAAGATTTCTTTCTAATCTCATACAAATTGGTCATCCTTGGGAAAAGAAAATTTATGAACTAGACATTGCAGACTCCATTCTGACTGCTTTGAGGATAGCAGCTTTTATTTATATTTTATGTTCTCACAGTGGCTCGTCTTCTCACCATGTTCCAGTCTCCTATTTGGCAGAATGTTAAGCCCATGTCAGGCATACACAGTGTGTTATACAAAGGATGAAATGGAAAGAGGCTTCTATATTCTGGACGAGTAAAGATGACGAAGAAATAGATAATGCAGCTCAGAAGTTGTGAGTTATTATTTTTTGATCCTCATATCATGTGCCTGCTCTTTATAAAATCTAAGCCTCACTATGGTCCTATGAGGGCAGGCTGTCTTCTCTTCTTACAGACTGGGAAACAGAGACCCAGAGAGGTTAGGCAGCACGATGAAGGTCCTAATACTAGGACTGGCAGAACTGGGTTTGGACTCTAGTTCCCAATGATTGTGAAGATAGAAGTCTTTTCTTTGAGCTATGATGTTAATTCATCCCAAGTAAATTCTAAAGTCCCTAAAAAATAAGTTGCAAAGCTACCCATAGTTTCAGATTAGTTGTAAAATAGGCAACATCACCTTCCCTCTTCCTTCATGTTTGACATTGATAAAGAAGGGGTCAAGGCAGGCAACCAAACTATCTTTTCATTGATTTTGTGCAATTCCCCAATAGCCGCCCTGAGATGCCCAAAAGTGTAATGGCCAAAGAGCTTATGGTGTGCCAGCCCTGCTCGAGTGCTTCACCGTGTAGAGTGATTCATGTGCTCCTCGCCGTGACCTGTGAAGTAAATGCTGTTGTCTTCATGCCTGTTTTACATGTGATGTTCACAGAGGTTAAGGGACCTGTGCAAGGTCACCCAGCTGGTCTGGCTCAGAGCCACCATGCAGAGGGCCTCACTGTGCTGCTAAGAGATAAGGCTAGCCCATGTCTCTGGTAAGACTAGGTTAAACTAAACAGGCTGTTGTATGCAGATGCCATACTTCTATGGGGCCTTTGAAAACTCCTGATTGACTCAAAGTTCTCTCAAGAGTCTGAACTCCCCCATTTTTAGGAAGAGGGCCTATAAACAAAACTCCTGTCCTCACAGTCATCTTATTAGTCTTAAGTACTACAATACCCCCTTTAAAAACAAAACAAAAAACTAGTCGCTCTAGCCAAGCATCACGTCAGTGACCCCAAATGCTTCTCATGTGAAAATCTATCTTGATAACCTAACAATGGGCCAAAGCCTTATCATCCTAGAGCAGGATATGAGGGCCCTCTGGCTCTTGCCGTCCACTGACTGCCAGGGCTGATTCAGCTCATCAAGCATCTAGCTCCCTGATCTTGCAGCTCCCTCCTTCCTCCCTGCTGCATGTCCTCTGAAAGCATCCTGCCATATGGAAAAGCTGCTGTTCCAGTGTGTTTCATGGCATGCTTGCTTACGGTGCTGGAAGGCAAACACTTCAGTTGGCACATCACTTCTCTCTGAGAAGCCCACTGTTGCAAAGGGGGGAGGCTATGAAAAAGCCTGATTTGGGGCATCTCTGCTACCCTGCCACTTCATGAGTGTGATCTTGAACAAGTCGCTCAGTGTTGCTGAGCTTCAGTTTCTCTCTCTCTTCCTGGATTCAGAAATGTTTAGAATTAAAAGGCCTTCAGTGATTGGCTAATCCAGTCTCCTTTTTGTCTCTAAAATTAGTATAATGATACCTTCTCCAATTATTACTCAGGTTCTCCAATTATTACTCAGGAGAAGAAAATAAGTTATTAGAAGACATTTTTCTAAACTGTAAAGTGTGAATATACTCTGTTACTAGTGTTCTTTTATTTGTCCCATCAATTGTGGCAGTGTTGACATCTGCCTTGGATATGGCTGGCACCTATTTTAGGATAGTTTTTTCCTCCTTAGGAAGATAAAGGGAGTGCAGTTGAGAAACGATTGTAGTTCAGGGGGAATATGGGCTGTATAATTATTTGTTGCAGCAACTTCCTTGTGCATTATGAGTTTAGCAACATCCCAAGTCTTTACCCAATAGATGTCAGTAGCATCTGCTTCCCACATTGTGACAACCAAAAATGTCCCTGGACTTTGACAGATAACCCCTTGGGGAAAGAATCGTCCCCAACTGAGAAACACTGGTCTTGGGTTTTTCATCTCAGAATCTCCCAAGGCCTGTGTGATCTGGACATGGATAGTTATCAGAACGTGGAATAGGGCTTAAAAAGTTGAGAAGCACTGTTTCAGTATAGAAGGGCCTGGAAGGTCAGGCAGCTTTGTGCTGTTAAATGCTGCTGTTTCTACAGGGCAGCAGGTGACTTAGCTGCCCTCATAATTCATTCCTCTGTCCATTTACCTGATCATCCAATTACAGTATTGAACACCTGCTGTTGTCAAAGCACTGTGTTAGATCCTGTAGTGGATCATAAATTTGAAAGACATAAAGTCCCTGACACCCAAATTAGGCTCAGGCAGCTTACAGAAAAGCCCATGCAGGAGATAAACATGCAGCTGCAGGACAGATGGCTGGCTGCACGCTGGTGGTCTCTGTCTTCCCTCCTCCACACCACTCCCTCTTTTATCCTTTTAGTGATACATGTTTATTTCACATTGGAAGAACACATGACATCGTTCTAAGGGCACACAAGAGCGTTCTCAGAGTCTTACCTTTTTAAATGCAAACTGGTTAAATGGCATTAAGAAAGTGTCTGTGACATTTAACCCTTCCGGGAATCCACCAGAGTTTCCTTTCATCCCGGTTTTGAAACCCAGAAAATCCTTTCTGACCTAGAAAGAATTATGATTCCACCCCTCCCCCGCCCCACACCCAGGGCCTTACAGGCGGCCTGCCCAACCAGGGATTTGTCTCTTACATCAGTTTGGGTGAGGTTCTTACATTCCACAGCATCCGGAAGCACTAAGAGGAATGTTTAAAAAATAAATTCAAACTGTTTCCTCCCTTAGAAGCAGTATTCTTTTGTGCTTACGTGCATTTTTGTGGCTAAGGGTTTTTTTGCATTTCTGTGTAGCCAGAGTTAGCACAGTGTTACTTGTGAGTGGGAAGGACAGTGACCAAGAGGAGCCGTGGACTACAGAGAAACTTTAGTGTGGTCTTGAAGGCTTTCTGCGGAAGGATTCTGCCTTCATTTCTGTGCTCAGTCTTGCTAACAGAAAGCTTTTTGACCAGCAGAGTGCCCAGGCCCATCTTCCTTTTTGGTGGGTGCTGTTTCATCACCGTGGTCACTGACTCCCTCCTACTGTGCCAGACTATGTGGCCAGTTTTTGAGATACATCAGGGAACAAGGCAGATGCACTCCCTGCTTCAAGGTCAATCAGAAAGCAGATAAACCATTTTTGGTACTGATAAATGAAGAAAATAAAACAGGGTAATATGAGGGTGCCTGGGAGTTTGGTGGACAGGGGATACCTCCCTAGAAACGCCACCCGTAGGAGACCTGAGGACAAGGAGCTACCAGGTGAACAGTGGGGAAGAGCACCTCCAGCAGCAGGAAACAACTGTAGTTTCAAAGGCCCGAAGATGATTAGTAGTGATTCTGTGCTGCTGCTTTTAGAGTAATAGAATATTCCCAGTTGCACTTACAAACTTTTTTCCTACCTGTCCTTGCTTCCTGCCAGAGCAGGTTTCACTCCTACTTTATTATTCTCTGTGAACAGACTGGTCAGCCAGGTCCCAGATGAGCACTTGTTCTTCCCCATCTCCTTGAAAACCATCTCTCTGCCAGAAAATTATCCTATTTTATTTTATTTTATCTTATTTTCTCTTTTCCTATACTCAGGGATTACCAGCAAACAATAACATCACCAAAGTAGGTGGGTCAGAATTTTTGAGTTTCAAGTTTAAATTACGAAGCTGGCTAGTGTGGAAGTTTAAATATTTGTGGGTTTTTTATTTGTTCTCCTTGAAACCAGCCCTCCTTAATCTCATTTTGCAATTCCATGTGGGAGAGAATCACAGTCTGATACAGAGGTGGGTTGAGCAGTCTGCTTTCTGGTCTGGAAAATTAGGTTAAAAGTTGACCGACAACTTTGTCCTCCTTCTACATCGCTTAAAGGTATTTAAAGTGCATGTAAAATACACATCTTACATTCCTTTTAGCAAATTGCCTCCCTAGGTCTGCTGTCTTTGCTGTGGTGGCTGCTCTGGCCCAGCACCAGCCCCGCCTGGGGCAGGGAGGGCCAGCGTTTGATCCCTCTGCAAAGGCTGCGTCAGGCTTTCCTCACCACTGATTTTTATATCTCTCCTTTCCTCTCACCCTGTTCACATTGTCTATTTGTTCATTTATTCATTGAAGAAGGATTTGAGTACCTACCCAAGGGAGAACCAATCACATTTAGAAAAAATATGTTTACAAATAGTAATGCAGCAGAGAGAGGTCACAGAGGTGCATGGGCCACAGGCCATAGATGTGTTTTATTTGTCTATCACAGTATTTAAGTTATTTTTAAAAATTTAGTTGACAGTATTTGAAAATTACAGTTTCCTGTAAAACCTGTATGCTAGAATTTGGGGGCCCCTGCGTGCATCTCTGCATGGCCACATAGGCTGGCTGTACCGTGGCAACCTCCTCAGACGTGGGTGAGATTGGAGAAGTCACTTAGGGTGGGGCTGAGGCAGGCTTGAGTTGGCTGGCTCACTCCTGGAAGGTCTCACCTGCCAAGGCATCGAAAGTAGGTCTCTGTTCCTTGGTTCGTAAACATATACACCTCTTCAATACCAGAGATATTGTTTACTCCTAATTTGTTTAAGGAGAACTGAAGTTTTTTATCATCTGCTGTAGCTGTTCTGTGAACCACCTTCTTTCTGCAAGCAGTTCCTTTCCCACCAATGTGCACTTGTGCCTACAGTTTGGCAAGTTTCTCTTGATTCATGATAGTTTCTTTCATCTTGTCAGAGTATAAAAGGGGCCACATGGGGGACTAGGGTTGGCGCTCAGAGGGTCTTGGGAAGACCAGCTGAGTTTAGGCGTGCACACACGGGGACACACCAAGGAGCAGGGATCCACTTTAACAACCCTAAAGTTCAGGCATCTGTGGCAGCAAACACTTTCACCATTATGGGCCATGATGAGACAAAGCAGTTCACGGAAATGCTACCCAGCATCTCAAACCAGCTTGGTGCAGACAGTCTGGCTAGTTTAAGGAGACTGGCTGAAGCTCTCTCTCCCCAAACAATCTGTGGATGGAAAAGTATGACTTGCTACTGGAGAGGATGATGATAAGTTCCAGATCTTGTGGAGAATTTTGATGAGGCTTCCAAGAATGAGGCAAAACTGAATTGAGTCAACTTCTGAAGAAGATAAAACTTGAAGAAGTTATTGGGAGCTGCTATTTTATATTATGACTGCTTTTTAAAATTGTTTTGTTTATGGATCTGATAAAATCTAGATCTCTAATATTTTTAAGCCCAAACCCCTTGGACACTGCAGCTCTTTTCAGTTTTTGCTTATATACAATTTGTTCTTTGCAGCTAATTAAGCTAAAAAGTCTGAAAATAAAGTTTGAAACAGAGGTTAGAAAAAAAAAAAGAAAGAAAATGGGTCTCATGCTGAGAGCTCCTTTGAGCCCTAGGAGTTAAGATGAGTCACATGATCAACTTGCACCTTGAGGCGGTTAGATGAATCCCTGGGAGGGATGAGCAGTGATTCAGAGGGTAGGTGCTAAGAAGTTGAGCAAAGGTGCTGCACTAAAGTTGGAGGAGGGGCAGATAAATTGGAGACCTACCGAGTAGCAGAAGCAAATGCCAGATGAGGCATGAGGCATGACGGTTCCTGATTTTCCTGGTTGGGCTTTCCCTGTTGGAGAGGTAGGTCTTAGCAGGGGCAGAGCAGGAATGGGCATGCTGTGCCTGGGACTTGCCTCAAGGTCTGTGCCACTCTTCTGCATGTCTGCATTTCTCCCCACTGAAGCCCACATCAGGGTCCTTGGTTGTAGGCAACAGAATCCAAACGTGGCTGCTTTAGCTAGAACAGGACAGGTAGCCAGAAAGGCTGGGGAGCCAGACTCGGGGGTTATCCTGCCAGGAAAAAAATTCCATAACTGGTCAGGTGAGAGCATTTCTGCAGCTGCCCCAGGAAGCCAAGGCTGCAGCCAGTGGGTGCTGAATATGCTACCAGCCCCTGTGCCTCTGCTGCCAAAGGGGACACTCCGGGTTGTCTCTGGTTCCTACTCTGCAGCAGGAGTGGGGGCCTGTCACACACCCATGCTGTAGCTGCAAAGGCTTATGTGAGAGTGTATCTGGCATTTGCTGCTTCTGTAGTAAGAGCTGGGCTCTGCTTCCCACCAAGACTTCTGGGAGGAGGGGATTTCCCAAACCTAGGAAGAGGCTTTAGAGGCTGGGACACCAATAAAATAAAATAAATGTCCATCTAGGGTTTGTCATTTTTTAGCATATGCAAGGAATGAGGGACCCCAAGCAGTGAGGACCTCTTCTCTGTTTAGAAAAAACACTGGGAGCAAACAAAGGTGATATTGCCAGGCAGGACCCAGAAGGGGTATTGGGAGAACGGGGATTATGGGGCGTGGCTGGAGGTTGGGGAGAAGGGCAAGTCTGTCGGAAGTAGGTGGGAATTGTCCTGTGGAAGCCACGCGGAATGTGTAATTGCAATGTTTGGCTTGCATTTTCTTAGGAAGGGGGTTGCCAAGTGAGCATTTTGATCTAGGAAATGACTCAGTAAGAATATGACTTAGAAAATTAGTTTGATGGGACAGAGAAGTAAGTTCAGTGGCTACTGCAGTGACCCATGTGTGAACTGAGGTTTTTCAGGGGCCAGGGAGGGCGGTGAGAGGCCTGGCCACTTGCTAGGGGGAGGGAGGTACCGTGGTGGCAGGGGCTCCAGGTCTTTCACCCTGGGTGACTGGGAGAAGGTGGCACCATCAGGGGTCAGGAGGAATTGACAGTGGGGGGTGGATCTGTTTAGATAGTCTTGCAGGGAGTTGAAGACAGGACTGGAGCTGAGTTGCAAAGGATAGTTTTAGATGTCATAAAATCATGGTTTTGGAACATTAGAGCACAGAGATGATCTATTCTCATGCCCTCATTTTATTTTATTTTAAAAATAATATAAAATGTATTATTTAATAGTTTATGTTTAATAGAGAAGGTAGTAGAAATACAAAGAAGAAAAGCAAAAACAGGCCATAATCTTTTGCCTAAATCATCCCTCTTGAGAAAAAAGATGACCTGAAGGGATGCATGTTCACAATTGGAGCTTTCAAACCATACAGAAAAGCTCACAGAAATGCAGGGGTCCTCCTTCCAGACCCACCCCGGTGTGCTGCGCACACTGCTTTACCCTTCCTTTCTTTTTTCATGTTGTTTTCAACGTAGATTAAGTAAAAACATAAGATCTTCTTTGTCACAGCCTCACACAGCTTAGACATCTCTGCATTATTTTGTGTCATAGCATGTAACCTAGCATCCTGAAAACGTCTAGTGGCTATCGTGTCACGTGCAGGACCAACTCCAACTGTCCTGCCTCCTCTCTGCCTCCCTGGAGTGCCCTCCAGTGGAGACTGGGCCCTTCCCCATTTCCTCACTGTTCCACTGTTCTCCTGCCTGTCCCTCCCTCTCTCCTGGCCCCACTTCTCTTGGACTACAGGTCCCCTGAGTGTCACTGTCCCCTAGAAGTCCTCTGTGGCCCCAGAGTGGTCAGGTCACCTCCACCATCCCTACCTGAGCAGCTCTGTGAGCACAGAGCCCTGTCTCTCTCAGTCACACGTGTACCTTGAGTGCCCGGCATGGCGCCCACATCTGACAGGAACCGGACAAACGCTGACTGCCTGGCCGCTGTGACTGCCTGGCTGCTGTCACATGCTGTGACTTTGAGCAAACAAGCATGCTTATACTGTCGTCCATTGTCACTGTCGACTGTAGAGATATGGATCCATTTGCAGCACTGCCGTAAAAGAAAAGTTATGCTGACACTTGTTTAAAACAGCAGAGACTTTATGCAAGGCTGTTGCCACAGGGGAGGGACTGGCTTTGACTCCTAGCACAGCAGGGGCAAGAGGGGGTAGAAGGAGACAGGCAGGGTGAGGGAGTGGGTGGGCAGTGGCTAGGGGACCTGGTGAGATATCAAGGGTGGGGGAGGAGGGGCTTGGTGGGGTGTCAGGGGTTGGGGGTCCTTGATAAAGGGGCTTCACAGCACTCCACTCACATTGTACTCTGTAGGCCAAGGACAAGGCCTCGATGAGAAAAGGACTCCAAAGAGCCTCAGTGTGGCCAAGAAGGGTGTCCTTGTCACCACCAGCCAGAAGAGCCCTTGATGATTATGCCCTTTAGTATGCAGTGCCACGTCCTGATGAAGACAGGACAGCCCCGAAGCCTGGGAAAGGCTCTGTCCAGCAGGAGCTGCCGGAGAGCGTCCACTTGCTGTTTCCAGGGTGGACCCGCACTGGTCTGCTGTGTATGGGAATGGTGAAGTAGCTGCTCCACACCCTTGCTCCCAGGAGGATCCTAAAGGCGGAGTGTATTTCAAGAAAGATCTGTCAAGTGTTCTAGCTCCTTGGCAGGGTACAGTGCTTTCCTCTGAGATAGTGTCCCGTGTGTTCCTGGTTACAGAGCTAACCCACCTGCTGCCGTGTGTGGCTTCTGTCACGGACGTAACTGACCTCACAGTCCCACAGGGCACTCTCCAAGCTAACTTTGCACCCTGGGTATTGGGTCAGCCAACAGGATGGCACGGCTCTGTGCCCAGTCACTCCTGGGACTTGCCTGTTGTCCTAGAGTAGTTGACAGTGCCTCTTTTCATTCTCAGAGTGTCCCAGTTTGGTCCATACATGACATGGCCTGTGGGCTTTTGTGTCCTTCCACACAAGTACTAGGCTATCCCTGGGCCTAGTACTGCTGCGCTGACAGGCCACAGTAGAGACCCTGCAGTGACTGGACACAGCCACCAGTCTTTAGCAAGGCAGCGGTGGTCTGGGAGATGCTTGAAAAAATCAGTCCTTGTGAGGGATGTTACTATGGGCTTCTTTCCACTCAATGGGAATGGACAAAGATAGGGGAGCTGAGAGGGTGGGGTGGCGCTGAAAGACATGGCTAGGACATCGGGTATCTGTTGTGAAGTGTCTCCAAAACCCACCTGCTGTATGCACTTGGAAAACATCGCTGGTGAACACAGTGAATGTGTTTTATGAGCAGTGCAGTGTCCGTATTTGGATTTCAGAGTGTCTGTGCAAGCACTGGCAGGATGAGGGTGGGCTTTGCAGTCTGCAGATCCTGGTATGCTCATAAAAATACTGTGCCCGGTTCTTCCATCTGCTGAGTCATTCCATAGGGGATGCGGGGGTGCTCTCCAGAAATCTGTATTTCCAACAGATTCTGGGGTTCTGATGGGTAGTCTGATTTTGATAACCACTGCTTTAGAAGAAGTAGACATTTTGATACAAATGTGTTCTCAATAGTTTGCATATGTTTAGATGGCTGATCACTCATATAGCAACTCTTTATTGCATGTCATCGTGGTCCTGGAGCTGGGCTGCTGTGCCAGCGACAGGATGTATTTGCACCCAAGGAGCTTTCCAGTCCAGCAGAGGGACAGGCCTTGCCTAGTCATGACCCCGTGACAGCGTCACTGCACAGGGGACAGGAGGGCTGTGGGTGCTGAGCCAGGGGTGACCCCAAACTCAGGGCCCAGGACAGGCCTCCCCAAGGCATGAGGCAGAGCCAGACCAAAGGGTGGGGGCTGGGAGCGCAGCTGCTGGGCAGTGGGCATAGCATGTTCAGAGCGTGGCAGCTAGGCCGTGGTGGGGGAGGCTGGAGGGGTGGTAGACTGGACTCCAGGGCACCCTTGAGCACCAAAGGGCCTGAAGCATGGGAGGACATGGCAGGATCAGGTCCTGATTTCCACGAGCTGATGGGCACCCACGTGCCGCTTCCATGGGCCATGTGGGTGGGCTTCTTAGTGGACGTGGGCAGTGCGAGCCTGGACAGGGATGCCAAGCTCCCCTGCCCTCTGTCTGGGACATGCCAGGAAGTGGGTGTGGCTGGGATGCACTGTAGGGTACAGACCGCAGGTGGGAGCCCCCATGCCCACCCCTGTGCCAAATGCTATCCTCCGGTCAGTGATGCTCTGTCTCTCTCCCTAGATCCTGCCTGGCCTGTATATTGGCAACTTTAAAGGTGAGTTCTCTCTTTTTTGTTATTGTGGTAAAATATGCATAACATAAAATTTAACATCTTAACCATTTTTCAGTGTAGGAGTCAGTGGCATTAAGTAATTAGCGTTGTTGTGCAACCATCACCACCATCTGTCTCCAGAACTTTCTCATCTTCTCAAACTGAGACTAAGGGCAAATAATATTCCATTTTGTGGATGTACCATATTTTTTTCCATTCCTCTGTCCATGGACATTTGGGTTGTTTCCACCCAAGGTGCATTCACTTTTTGAAAGATAAGCTTTAGACTTCTCAGGTCTGATTGGCAGGCAAGATGGTGACTCAGTCTGCACATAGTCTGTTCTGGAAGTAGCCACCACTTGTGCCCAGGCCCCTTGTTGGGTCCTCATTCTGGCGCCCGACCCCTTGACCAAGGGCTGACCCAGCAGTGTGAGGCCATGCAGTTCCTGCTTGGCCTCGGGTCTTCCTGTGAACTCTCCAGGCTTGCAGGGACATTATGATCAAAAGACGATGGACAACAGGCCCATTTAACATCCACGTGTTGATAACTTATGTATAATCTTTTGCCCCTTTAATTTTCTAGTTTTTGTTAATAAATTTCAGAAGACTGTTATTTTTAAATCACCTGGGAAACATGAGTGACAATTTCATCTCTGGCAGATTATTCTCATCTTGGGTTGTCTTCTCCTCTCAGGTGTTTCCCTGATGCTTATTCAAAATTTATTGATTTGCTGTCAGTTGTTGTGTCTTCATTTTAGCAAAGTACAAGGTGGTTACCAGCCTTGTCAGTTTCCAGGGGCTGGGGGCGTCTAGGCCTTCTGCCCTGTGAGGTTCCGAGTTCGTGTAAATGAAAACAGTGGCTCCTTCGCATTGAGATGAGGTGCACTTAATAGGATAGAAATGTCCCAGGAAACTTGCCACAAGTCCTCAACCGTGTTGGATTGGACAGACTAAACTGTGTCATAGGTACCTAATACTCCTCCCTCCTCCAGCAAGCCAGAACACGGGCAGCCTCAGAAAACACTCCTGTGGGTTTTTTGGATGTTGCTTAAATTGATTGTGCCAGTAATCTTTATTACTTCTCTTCATAAGTTTATTTTCCTTTCTTCCCCCCCCTGTAGGCTCCTAGTGCCTCTGATTGTCTTCAAAGAGAATTGAGTGCAGGGAGCTGACAGCTGCTGGTTGTCAGCCAGGAGAACACGTTAAAAATAATACTTAAAAAAATAATAATACTTTAAAATAATACTAATTTAGTTCCTAAATTAGTCAGCTTTGTATTCTGAAAAAGTGGCAGGCCCTTTTTGGTGGTAGGCTGGGATACATTAACTGAACAAGTATCTTCATAGAGTTAGTAAGTTATTAACTACTTTCATGGGGAGAGAAGGTGTCTTTGTTTGATAACAGAGTTTAGGATAAGTTCTTAGAAGTAGAATCGCTAGGTGAAAGGTTTGCTAATTAAAAATTTTAATAAATAGCAACCAAATTCAATACTTCTGCCAGCAGTATATGAGAGTTTTAGCCTTAGTCATGAAATGTTACCTTTTTTTAGAAGGACATGTATGCACAGTTTTAAGGAAATACTTGAAACACCTTTTATACCAAAATCTCTATGTCTTCTAACTATTCAGTGAGGTGGGAACCCCTCACAATTGCTTTGATTCTTGCTTTGTGGTTCCACCTGTTAGAGTGTTCTAAGCAGCCTACCACCTCTCCTTGTTAAGACAGTTCATGTTTTGTTGTTGCCTACAGTTATTCTCATATTAGTATGTGGCATGTTTTATTCACTCATTAATTCACCAAACATTTATTAAACACTGCCTAGGTTAAGGCTTATGTAAAACAGAGGAGTGAGAGTCCAGTGCGTTGGCAAGAAGTTGGGAGGAGAGGCAGTGTTGCTTCTCTGTAGTGCTGTGAATTGACTCATTCATTCCCCAAGCTTCTGAATGGTGCACATGTTCTTGGAGTTGGATGTGCACAAGGGTCCTTGTCTTTAAGTGCTCAGAGTCTAGGGACAGGTACAGAACAGGAAGGGGCCTGCAGAGTGTCAAGAAGCTGTCAGCTGGCCTGCCTTAGAATCCCAGATACCCCACTGGCCATGAGCCGGTGCGTGTCCTCAGAGGAGTAACACACCTGGACGTGCAGAGTGAGGATGGTGATGTCAGTCTCGGGCTGTGGTGGGGCTGAGGCAGATAGTGCGGTGACACAGTCAGTTAGCTCAGTTAGCTCAGGGCCCGGCCTGTACCTGGTGCCCTCCCTGTCTGTGACCTGGGACCCACACACTTACTGTGGGCTATTGTGGGCACCAGACAGATGCTCATGAAACACCGACAGCTGGCCAGGTCTGCAGTGGGCAGCTGGGTGCAGTTAGCTAGCCAGGGTGGATGCCTAATGGAATGTGGCCCTTTCTTTTTCCTTGACGGTGAATCCAGCTTTTCTCTGTGCTTTAGCCTTTAGTCATTTAGCCTACTCTTTTAAAATTGCAAATAATACATGCCCCTTGTAACAACAACCAATGTAGAACCTTATAAGGAAACAATTAACAGTCACTCCCTTTTCCTGTCCCTCCTCCTTCTTCCCTTCCCTTCTTGTCTCTCCCTTCCTTTACCTTTCTCCCCTCCTTCCTTCCTCTCCTCCTCCCTCCCTTCCTTCCTCCCTGCTTCTTTTCCCTCCTTCTTGCCACTGGGATTCCTCACATGTCTCTCCGAAACTTTGGTGTTTTTCCTTTAACTTTGCAATGAGTCACAGTTTTCTAACACCTGGTGATTTCTCCACCTAGGAAAAAAACACAAACAGGCCATCTCTGGAGCCTGTCTTTGATGCTCTGAGAGCCTCTTGGTTGAGGTACCAGCATTCAGCAGCTTGCTGTGCCCAAATGCTGGGAGGGAAGGCAGTAGACGGACACCCGAAAGAGGAGCCCCCCTCCCAGGCCAGAGGGTGGAGTTCATGGCTTCCTCACAACTTGGCACAGGCAAAAGTGGATGTCAGCTGACAGAAGAAGCCCTCAGTGTTTGAAGATGTCTACAAAAATCTAGAAGAGTGGGAACAAGCTCAGGCATTGTGAGTGTGGGGGTGATGTGCAGAGATGATGTTCGAGGTCTCAGAGCTTCTGTTCTGCGTTTGCCAGCGAGACAGATGTTCCTGGTAGGGGTCCCCGTTGTTCACATAAGGCACAGCTGGCGAGCACAGGCCTGGGGCGGTCTGCTGTCAGCTTGGCCTGGAAGAGCCGGGTTCCAGTGTCGTTGGCACAAGTGTGCATTTGGAAACATTCAGGGGTGATGGATTGAGGCCCATACCCTGGCCTTGAGACTTAATCTGGTCATGATAATATCAGTAGTAATGATGATAGTGAAGACCACACATTTGCCACAAGCCAGGCACTGTTCTGCATCATTTAGTCCCCACAGTAGCCTGTGGCGGTTTCTCCTCTTAGCATCATTCCCACTTCACGGGTGAGAAAAGTGAGGTGCAGGAAACCTGGCTCAAGGTCAGCACAGTAAGTGCCACAGCCAGGGTGTGATTAGGCAGGCCCTGTCCCCCTTGAATCCCCAGCCGAGGTTGGAAGTGGATCGTTAGAGCTCGAACCATCCTCAGCTAATGTGTGTTAGTTTATAGCTCCAGATGCCGTGAATATGTTCCTAAGGGGGAAGCAGAACTGCAAAGCAGGTGGGAGTCCCGCACTGTTGGTCAGCACATTCTCAATTTGGGAGGCAGAAGGTTTTTGGGAAATGACTCAGACATGGGATGGGTTGTAGAGCAGAGCAGAGCAGGGGGTCCTTTAAGACAGAGCCCTGTCTCCACCCTGCCTCCCCACGCTGCACCGTCCACAGGGCCTGCGAGCTGCTCTGCAGGCACTGCCTTCTTGCCTACCAAGCATCCACTTGTATAGAGAGCTCGTGTTGATGGTGTCAGGTTCTAATGCTTGCTCCAAGATACTTTTGTTAATTTTATTCAAAGGCAGTTCTTCTTGACTTTCACCAGACCGGCTTATTTCCTGTGGGCACTCTGGCATGTCCCATGCCTTAGGACTGGCCACCCCATTCATCTCTGCATAAGACCTACAGCACTAATTCTTCTTAAGGAAGCATGTGGCTGCCACTTTCCCTCTGAGGACAGCATCTTCCAGCAAAGCCACCTGATGTCCCAGCGAGGGCTTCCCTGGGCCACGTGAGGCCTTCCTCTGAGCCAGGGACGGAATGTCCGACCTGAAGGGACGGACCGGGGCATTTCTGTGTCAGTGTTCACCCTGTGTGCAGGAGGCTTCTGCTTTTTCAGAAGGCACATGAGGCCTCTGGGGTAAACAGAGGCAGGCAGGTAGAGTGGGGAAGAGCCCAGAGGCTGGGGAAATGCTGACAGAGAGAGGAAGAGGACGTAGTTAGCTGCGTTTATCAGCAGGGGATTGACTCTTCATTTTCCTCTTTTTATCACTTTTATAATAGATTTTGTGAACAGGAAATTTTTATTTGGTTTTCCAGGTTATAAAAGTAATATGGGCTTATCAGTGAAAACAAAAAATCAAACCTGATAGAAATATGTTAAAGAGAGTGAGACTTCCCATAACCTCACATCCTGAGATAACCATGCTTAATAGGTCATCATGTGTCCCTCTAGATGTTTTTTCCGTGTGAATTCTAACCTGTGGCCTTCCCATTGGTTTCAATACTGACTTGTTGCATTTGAGATTGCAGGTGCCTATGAGAGGTGTTTTGGTTTAGGAGTAGCATTACATGCCACAGCAGTGGAGAGGCCCCTTGGCACCAGGGCAAATGTCATTCCTTGCAGGGCTTGGTGTATAGGGAGTATACTGACTTCTGTGTAGGGAGTACACTTGAGTTCTGTGGTTTTTATTAAAGTACACATTCTGATCAAATAGATCTGGGGTAGGCCTGGGAGTCTGCATTTCTGACATGCTCCATGTGATGCATGTGGGTGAGTACTCAGGAAGAGCTTGTTTAAAGCATACAGGCTTGGGTATATGTGCATTAGTAAGCCATTGTCTCCACAAC